GTTCCAGCTTGATTTCTCCATGTTTTCTCACTCAAATATGTGCTGTCTCCTCCAATAGGGTCTTACCATCATGTTCTGTTGGGTAAACAAAAGCAATGTCTTTTTTTTATTTTATTTTGTAATTTAATTTAATTTTACATATCAGCTGCGGATTCTTCTGTCCTCCCTCCTTGTCCCCCCTCCCCGCCCTCACCCCAGTCTACCATCCATTCCCATCTCCTTCAGGGAAGGACTCCCCTGGGGATTCAGCTCAGCCTGGAAGATTCAGTCCGGGAAGGTCCAGTCCCCTCCTCCCAGGCTGGGCAGTGTCCCTGCATAGACCCCAGGTTCCAAACGGCCAGCACATGCACTAAGGACAGGTCCAGGTCTCACTGCCTGGGGGCCTGCCAAACAGTTCAAGCCAATCAACTGTCTCACTTATCCAGAGGGCCTGATCCAGTTGACGGCTCCTCAGCTTATTGGTTAATAGTTCATGTGTTTCCACTAGTTTGGCTATTTGTCCCTGTGCTTTTCCAATCATGGTCTCAACAATTCTCACTCATACAATCCCTCCTCTTTCTCGCCGATTGGACTCCCAGAGCTCCACCTGGGGCCTGGCTGTGGATCTCTGCATCTGCTTCCATCAGTCATTGGATGAGAGTTCTACCATGACAGTTATAGTGTTTGGCCAACTGATCACCAGAGTGGGTCAGCTCAAGCACTCTCTCAACCATTGCCAGTAGTCTATTGTGGAGGTGTCCTTGTGGATTTCTGGGGACCTCTCTAGCATTTTGCTTCTCCCTATTCCCATGGGGGTCTTCATTTATCATAGTCTCTTTTTCCTTGTTTTCTCTCTGTGTTCTTGATCCAGCTGGGATCTCCTGCTCCTCTAAGCTCTCGTTCCCTCGAAACTTGCCCTTCATTACCACCACCACCCCACATCCACTTTGCTCATGTATATCTCACCCATTTCTCTGTTATTGGGCAATCCCTTTGTCTTTCTTAGGGTCCTCTTTTCTAGGTAGCCTCCCTGGAGTTGTGAGTAGCAGTCTAGTCATCCTTTGTCTTATATCTAGTATCCACCTATGAGTGAGTACATACCATGTTTGTCTTTCTAAGTCTGGATTACCTCACTCAGAATGATTTTTTCTAGATCTATCCATTTGCCTGCAAACCTCATGATGTCATTGTTTTTCTCTGCTGAGTAGCACTCCATTGTGCATATGTACCACATTTTATTTATCCATTCTTCAGTTGAAGGGCATCCAAGTTGTTTCCACATTCTGGCTATTACAAATAATGCTGTTATGAACATAGCTGAGCATGTGCCCTTGTGGTATGATTGAGCATTCCTTA